CCATTTGACCCAGGAATTCCACTTCTAGGAATTTACCCTAAGGATGCAGCATTCCAGTTTGAAAAAGACAGATACACCCCTATGTTTATCGCAGCACTATTTACAATAGCCAAGAAATGGAAGGAATCTAAGTGTCCATCAGTAGATGAATGGATAAAGAAGATGTGGTACATATACACAATGGAATATTATTCAGCCATAAGAAGAAAACAAATCCTACCATTTGCAACAAAATGGATGGAGCTAGAGGGTATTATGCTCAGTGAAATAAGCCAAGTGGAGAAAAACAAATACCAAATGATTTCACTCATCTGTGGAGTATAAGAACAAAAGAAAAACTGAAGGAACAAAACAGCAGCAGAATCACAGAACTCAAGAATGGACTAACAGTTACCAAAGGGAAAGAGACTGGGGAGAATGGAAGGGTAGGGAGGGATAAGGGCAGGGAAGAAGAAAGGGGGTATTATGATTAGCATGTATAATGTGGGGGTGGGGGATAGAGGAGGGCTTTGCAACACAGAGAAGACAAGTAGTGATTCTACAACATCTTACTATGCTGATGGACAGTGACTGTAATGGGGTTTGCGGGGGGAACTTGGGGTAGGGGAGAGCCTAGTAAACATTAAAAAAAATAAAAAAGAAATAAAGTAAATTTTTACCGTAAAAAAAAAAAAAATTCCCAGAGTTCAAGGTGCTGGGACTCACCGTCCAGGCTAGGGTGCTTTTGGAAACATGTGGGGAACACATGCTTGTGCCAACCAAAACCTGGCACTGTTGGCACTGCAGAGTGAACACAACACAGAAGCAATATGCCATCTGCTCTGCCCTGGCTGCCTTGGCCTCACCAGCACTGGTTGTATCGAAAGGTCATTGTATTGAGCAAGTTCCCAAACTTCCTTTGGTGGATGAAAATAAAGTTGAAGGCTAAAAGAAGACCAAGGAGGCTGTTTTGCTTCTTAAGAAACTTAAGGCTTGGAATGATATCAAAAAGATTTATGCTTCTCAGCAAATGAGTGCTGGCAAGGGCAAAATGAGAAAGCGTTGCCATATCCAGTGCAGGGGTCCCTGCATCATCTATTATGAGGATGATGGGATCATCAAGGCCTTCAGAAACATCCCTGGAATTACTCTGCTTAATGTATGTGAAGTGAGCATTCTGAAACTTGCTCGTGGTGGACATGTGGGACATTTCTGCATTTGGACTGAGAGTGCTTTCTACAAGCTAGAAGATCTGTATACCCTTGGCATAAAGTTGCCTCTCTCAAGAGTAACTATAGCCTTCCCATGCACAAGATGCTCAGTACAGACCTTAGCAGAATCTTGAAAAGCCCAGAGATCCAAAGAATCCTCCATGCTCCATGCAAGAAGATTCACTGCAGCATCCTGAAGAAGAATCCACAGAAAAGTCTGAGAATCATGCTCAAGCTAAACCCATATGTGAAGACCATATGCTGGAACACTATTCTTGGCCAGGCCAAGGATCACAAACTCCAGATGGATAAGGCGGCAGAAGCACTGGAAGCCAAATCAGACGACAAGGGGTTCCGTGGTAGTGAAGAAAGGACAGAAGGCAGTAAGACGCTGAAGAAGGTTTTGGTCGGAAAAAAGGCTGCAGCAACCATGAAACCAACTGAGAAGAAGCCTACTAAGAAGAAACCCACCACAGAAGAGAAGGTGCTGCGCAAACTTAAATATGTTCATTCCATAAAGGTCAAATCGTTCCGGACAGCTAATTTTGAATAAAGACTGGTTCAAAGAGGCAAAAAAAAAAAAAAAAAAAAAAAAAAAAAAAAAAAAAAAAAAAAAAAAAAAAAAAAAAGGAATGGAGAACTAAGAGGGTCAGATGTAGGTAAATGTAAGGAATAGTCACTGTGTAAGACTACAAGAATAATGTCTTAGGGGCCTAGAATAGATGCTGAATTAAAACACATTACAGTAGCCAGAAAGTCTGGGGGAGGGGGAGGTAAGTGTTGTGAGGTCCTCGTACTGTGATCAAAGAGGTAAAAGTACTAATTTGGGATAGACACAAATATATCATAATTGACATGTATTGACACTATATCATTTTTTAAAGATATATTGACACATTTTGTAGAATACACATTATCCTACAGTGCATCAAGACCGATGAAGTGCTAGGTCAAAAATCAAGTTCCAACAAATTTCAAAGGATTGAATTCACAGCATGTTCTCTGACCAGAGGAGAATTCAGCTAAAAATCCATAATAAAAAAGATAACTTAAAAAAAAATTCCCAAGATATTTGAAAATTAACATATTCCCACATAGCCTATGGATCAAAGACATCTCAAAGGAAATTATAAAATATTTTGAACTAAATGACCATGGAAATATAATGCATCAAAACCTATGGAATAAAATAAAACAATGTAAAGAGGAGGTCTAGCATGAAGGGCATATTTTAGGGAAAAAAAATGCTAAGTTACCTAAGTTCTGTCTCAAAAAGGTGAAGAACACCAAATTAACCCCAAAGAAAAGAGAAGAAAACAAAAAAACTTAAAGGCATAAATTAATGGATAGAAATGAACAAAGAAAGCAACAAAAAGTGGTTCTTTGAAAAGGTTAAAACATTCACAAGCCTTAGCAAGACAGATTAAGAATAAATAAAAAATAGGCACAAATCACAGTATCTGTAATGAAAAAGGGACATCACTATAAATCCCACAAATAAGAGAGAGAAATGTGATGAACAGTATGTCAAAAATTTGACACATTTATATGGAAATGGATGAATTCCTGGGGGAAAAAAAACCCCAGAAACTTCCCAAAACGTACACAAAAAGAAATGTAAAACCTTGTATCTGTGAAGGAAATTGAATTCTCCCTCAATTCAGACCCATTGGACTTCCCTAGTGAATTCTTCTGCACATTTAAGGAAAAACCCAAATCTTTCTTGAATTCTCCCAGAGCATTTAAAATAGGAAATACTTCTCAAATTGTTTCATAAGTCTGTCATAACCCTAATACCCAAACCTGTCAAGGATATGGAAAGAAACTAAAATGGCAAGTAGATCTCTCTCATGAACAGAATCCATAAAGTCCTAAGGAAAATATGACCAAATTGAAACTCACAACAGGGAGGGTGGGGATGGGATTCCACGGTAACAGTGCTTTTCTCATTCCTAATGGGATTCATACAAATTATCCCATTTTACCAAAAGGTTTTATTCTCCTGTATACCTTATATATATATAGGGAAACTGAGGCCCAAAGAGGTGAAGGGACTAGTCTAAAGTCACACTCAAGCTACAGCTGGACTAGACAAATTCATTCCACTTGATGGACATTTACCAGCACGGGCTGGAGATGTACCTTTGCGGCTCTCTACCCCCCTGCGCCTCTCTTCTGTCTCCCTGGACCTCTCACTCCTGAGGCCAGTGTCTGCTCTGCTGCTGCAGCCCCAGGCAGGCAACAAAGAGGAGCAGCAGTGCGGCCTGGACGGGCTGCCAGCACCCCTGGTGTTCGGGAGTCTTGAAGCACAGAGGAGTGGCCCTGTCTGCCAGGCCCCAGGCTCCCTGTGCTCACACTGCTCAGAGGAAGCATATGGCCTCAGGGCCTGTGCACTGCAGCCTGACCATCACCACTCCCAAGCTCTATAGGCTACAAAGCACTTCTGCCTGTGTTTCTCATTTGACCTTCAGGGAACCCTGCAAGACAAGCATCAGTACTCCCACCTTGGAGTATCAATACCTCCACTTTGCAGATGAGGAAAGCAAGGCGCTAAGCAGGGATAACTTGTCCAAATAATCCATGCAGAGAATAACTGATCCAGGGTGACACACAGGGCCTTCCTCACCACATCAGGAGGCCCCTATGAAGTGCTGTTCAATGTGATTGAAGATGTCCAGGATTATGCACTGAGACAGACAAGACTGACCCAGACAGGTATGCTGAAAACTGCGCAAATACTAAGTAAAAGAGAACTCCCTGGCCTAGCTGAGTGGTGACACATGCATTTTTTAAAAATTAATGTAGAGAGCTGAAAGGGATGGCTCCATAGCATGAGAGATCAGATGCAAACAAGAAACAGTATGAAAAACAAAAATTGAAGGTCTTGTTATGGGACTCTGTAAAGACAGTACAATGAATTCTTTAAATGTATTTGAGCAGCACTAGCTGCTCAGAAACCACAGGACACAGGGCTGAAGAAGGGTCCAATGCTACAAACTTCCTTTTCACAAAGGAAATGAGTCTGAAGCCCAGCTCAGAAGCTTCTAGATTTCATTGGTAAACAGAAAAAACATCTCCAGGACAGAGGAGGCTAGGGCCCATCAGCAGACGATCCCGTGAGTGCCTCCAAAGAGCACTGTCTGGAGAACATGAGGCCACCAATGGGGCCCCCCAGGGCTCAGGGTTCCAGGGTGGCCCCAAAGCAACAGCACCTGAGTGGCAGGGTTTATGAAACAGCAATTTCAGTGAATCCAGATCAAACAGCACAGAATGACATGGTCCCCAGAGCACAGAATCATGTGTTTTCATCCTATTGCGTCTGTTGGTGGAAGGGAAATGAACGTGTGGATTACAGGAAGTTGGTGGATGTAATTTCTGGAGACCTTATGAAAGCATCTGAGATGAATCCAGACCAAAAACTATTTCAGAGACTGAGTCACATGAGAACTGGGAGGTTCTGTGGTGGATCAGGCTGGAGGAAAGCCAGTCAACAAGAGCGGGAACAGCAGGCACTTCTCTGGATGGAAAAATGTAAACAGTGGGGTCCTGGGGGATTGGGTTGGTTGTACTTCTGCATAAATAGCTGAGAAGAGGGAGGAGGAGGTGGAGAGATTGCCCTAAGGGTGAAAGAAACTGTCCCTGCCAGATGGGTGCAGGGCTTGGATTTCACCCAGAGGGCCCCAGGCGGTGCTGCAGGGAGGACAGCGCTGGCGCACAGTAGGTGCCCTTGAACCAGAAAGAGCGGAAGGGGGAGGCAGAGGGGAACAACATGAAGTGGTGCCTGTGGGGAAAAGTCTTCCAAACAAACACACAGAACATTCTTGCCTGACAGGGGGTCTCTGGTGGCTGCTTGGGTCAATGTATTTCTTTAAAAAGAAAAGTTTTAAATTATAGGAAAAATTAAAAAATAGGAAGAGGGGCAGAGGGGAGGTTTAGGTCAAGCACAAGGAGATGTAGGAGGGGGTTTCCAGCCAGAGAAGCTCTAGGCCAGGAGAGTCCCTCCAATGGCACGGGGCCCATGGGTCCACGTCAGGCAGCAGCCCCTGAACCTGGCAGAGGAGCTCCAAGCCCACGGAGCCCGGGGGCCGCCACACCGCACTGGGCTCCCTCCCTCCCAACAGGCCCCAACTCCCTCGCCATGGTCCAAACTGGGCTCCGGGTGCCCCCAAAGAGCCTCCTGAGGCCTGCAGCCTCACCTGCTGTTGGCTCTGCTCCTCCAGGTTCATCTTCACCTCCAGCGACTGCCGGGCTTCCAGGAAGGCCTTGCGGTGCTTGCGGTCCGCCATGTAGTAGGACATGATGCCCACAGTGATGGCGCAGAGGTACAGGAAGACATTGGCCAGGATCTGCACCCCGGGGAGAGAGAAGGACAATGGTGAGGGCACGTCTTCAGGAGGGGGATGGGGAGTGGGGTGGGCAGGGACCAAAACCAAGCCCCAAGTTGCGTGGTGTCCAGGGAGGGCCTCCGGTGGGCCTCCAACTTCGATAGGTATTCAGGGTCCTGAAGCAGGCTCTGCCCGCCCGCTGCCGCTGGGTGAGGCCCAGGCTGAGGGGCTGCCATCCCCCCTCCCCTTCACACTGCAGCTAACCGGGCCAATCTCAACCACCCGAGAGGGCTGAACCATCCCCCTGCTCCTATTCATTCACTCAATCAGCTGTTTGTTCACTACCACTTACTGAGCACTTACTAGGTGCTCTTAGATGCTGTGCTCAGCCAGGAGCGTAGAATCCTAAAAGCTGCAGGTCGCCTGGAAGTCACAGGAGAGACAAAGCAGTCCTGGCTGACTCAGTAGTCACAAGGCTACCTCACACGTGTGCCCCATGTTTGTGGGCTTCTAGGATTCACATGTATCCTCTCAGGCAACCCCATCTGCCTCTGGGGGAGGGGAAGCCAGTACCAGTGTCCAGACCCCACAAGGAAGCTACGGGAAGTGGGGCTGTGGCCCCTGACATCCACCCTGCAAGCTCAGCACACTGGCACAGTGACCTTCTTGGGCACTGAGAGACTGTTTCTCCATCTCAGGCACCCTGCAGGCTCCCCTAGGTGACTATGGTCCTTAGCCCACTCCCATGGGCTGCTGGGACTGCAGACTTGATTGCCACCTACCAGAGGTAACCTTGGATATGGCCGTGAACATCCAAACCGCACCTGGTTTCCTGGCACTGGCTGCGGTGGGCCCCATCTGGGGCTGAACCAGGTTCTAGTTCCTCCCACCTCTCGAGAGCCACTGGCTGCTGGGAGCCTTCTCCAGCTGGAACTGTTTCTAGATCCGGCCCTTACCACTCTGGTCAAGTCACCAGATTTCACAAGCTCCTTTAGGGTCTGGTTCAGGAGCTAATGATCCCGTGTGTTTCTGGCAGGTATACCCCTTGTATTCCTGATCACCTACACCTTCCTGGGGCAAGTGGGTGATTTCCAAGTTCTGTGGGACATCTCCTGCCCCTTCTGCTGGAGCACAGTAGGCCTTTCCCATCTGAGTGGTTAGTTGCAACACGGCCTCAGGCCTAATAATCCAAAGATTAATCCAGAGCTGCCAATTTTAGATCAGTGAGTCAAAGCAAATCACACACATCACTTTGTGTCCCAGGGTCAGTCTGGCCTGAGGTCCAGGAATCTCCAGCAGACCAGGGGCCACCCTTCTTTGGGGACCATGGAAATCTGCCCAGCTCCTGGTACAGGAAACTGGCTGATGGGTCAGGCCGCACCTGATGCCACCTCACCAAGCAGCAGCACTTTGCTGAAACCCCAGCAGGGCCCCAGATACAGCAGCCACCAGGGCTGAAGGTCTCCGGGCTTACAGGGCTCTGGGTCCTAGAGGGCATGGGACCAGCCAGCCATAGAGAAGCCACCATCTGGACCCTAAATCCAGCAGGGTCAGTGACTCTGAACCAGAGGCTCCAGACAAGGCAGGATGCCCTGGGGCCACAGGCATGTCTCTGGCCCTGGCCACACCCGCCTGCACTGTCACCCTGGGCTGGGGACAGAGCTCCAGGCTCCCCCACAACAAGCCCTGCCTGACAACCTCACCAGGTGGACAGGGCAGACTCTGCAACACGTACAGTGCTGAGCCTGTATCAGGAGGTGCTGTCATCATTACCCATCAGGGCATCCACCTAAGGGAACCAGCCCCACTCTACAGACTGTCTGCCGGAAATGTTTCAAACCAGTCACCACTAAACATTATAATCCAAAGAGCATAACAGGATTCAGGTGTGGTCCATGCCTGGAGACCATCTATACAGGGCAGTATTTCTTTCCTTGAACTGTGTGTGTTTTAAAATAAAATCCACTTTTGTACTTCACTTGCAGGTACATACAGTAGAGAAATAAATCCAGGAGGAGCCCTGAATTTGGCACCATCCCTGTCTAGCTGGTTCGGTCAAATGACCTCTCTGAATCCAGTTTTATCATCTGGGGTGATTCACCTGAGGGGTGAGCTGAATCATCTCAAAGGTCCGTGCAGTCCGGACACTGTCTGGTCCTCATCAGACCTCATTTCTGAGGGCAAAACTTAGGGCTGGAGAATACCTGGTCCAGCGAGGCTGGGGAGAAGGCGCGGTGAGTCAGTTCCTGGGTTGACCAGAGAGCCACACTGCCTCCTGTCCTCTGAGCACCCGAGTCACAGAAACCATCTCCTTCCCAACCTGCACTCCTGGCTCCTGTCTACAGGGAGGTGGATGCAAATGGCGTGTCTGGACTGCATGCTGGAGAGTCGTAGGGGACCTGCTGCTCCAGGCAATTCTCTCCCCCTCTTCCAGTGAGTCCACTGTTTCCAGACAATTCTCTCAGGAGCCCCAGGCTTCCCCCAGTTTCTTAAACTGGCCTCAATGGAAGAAAGAGCCCTCAGGGTGCCATTGCTTTGTTCTGTCCTGACCCCTCTATTCCACAGGCCACAGCCCAAGGCCTGGAAGTTGCTGGCACTCCCCTGGTGCAGGTTTATAACCCCACCTTTCCCCAGAAAGGCTACTAGACGTTTTACAAATGAAAATTCAAATTATCATGAAGATACCAGCGCTAAAGCACTTATGTGTAAGCTGCTCACATTTTAAGCCTGAAACAAAGCCGTACATCTATAGATTTCCTCAACTTCCATATAATGGTGGCCAGGAACTCTAAGTTCTTCAAATGCAGAAATTTCCTGTTTAATATTTATAAATGTAAACTTTTCTTAGCAAAATGGATGTGCTCCTCAAAATACGTTTGAAACAAATGAGCTCTGCTCCTTCGGCAGTGAGCCGGGCACAGTGCCAGCACCCAGGGGTGACGGCGACTCTGACGCACCCTGGCCCCCGGGGACCACCACCGGCAGGGGAAGGCCCAGGTCTGGGGGAGGACAGGCCACGGGGTAAGTGGGGTGGCTGTTGTTTCTCCAAGACACGTCTGTGAGAGTCTGGTGTGGTAGAATTAGCGCTGTGAGCCTGTTGCCGGGGACTCCCACCCCGGGCTGTGGATCTTGGGGTGATTCCCCAGCCCCTGTGAGGTGGAGAAGCCCTGCTCTGGGGGACCCTCAAGGTCACCTCTTCTTGTTTCATGGCCCCTTTTCCCTCGTGAAAATAGACTGGACAGCAGTCTAATTTCAAAGAATTGTTTGTTTTCCAACACATTATTTTTAAAATAATGAATAAAATGAGTGAATCTCCCAAGTGGGTAAACATTCAGACTTCAGTGTCATCTAACCCACGACAGCTGGATAAAGCATTTGTAATACCCCAGCTCAGAAATGCAACCGTGAGAAAATTCCTTTACAAAATCCTTCCTCTTGGTATGTGATGAATCACAGTAGGCTGCTCATTTTCTAACAGCCCACAGGAACACAGGGCTGCTCTAAGCAGACCTTTTAAACAGAAGTCACCGCACTGGAGGCAGGCCGGTGGCTCTCCTGCCCAGGCTGACCTCTCCCTAGAGGCTCGTTTCAGCTTGCAGATTCTAGAACACTCCAGAACTGGGGAGGGGAAATGGAGGGAGAGAGAGCTGCTCTGGGGTGTCAATGTCCATGCCAGCCACCCTCAGAGACCTCATGATTCTCTGCTGCAGGGGAAGGCTGCGCTGGAGCCTCTGTGCATTAAAATTGACTTAGATGCCTTGGGAAAAAAAATCTCCAAGGAGCTGTAGGATAGGAAGGAGCAGGGGAGAAGACACCTCCGCCAGCAACCAGCCTCCCCAATGCAAGAGGGCCCATCTGGAGCCTGGGGCAGCTGCTACACAGTGCCCATGGGGTCCCCACCTCTAGAGCCATGCTCACTGCACACTGACAGTGGCCCCTCCTTAACAGCCAGGTCCCTACTGAAATGTCTGCTCCTCACAGAGGCCTTCCTTGACCACTGCCACTCACCCTCTGTTACATTTTCCTGCTTAAGACCAGCACAGAATTATCTGCACGTATCACTCTCTGATCTTTACCTTCCTTATTTGTCTGTTTACATGACTAGAAAGGAAGCCCTTTGGGGACCAGCACAGAGGCTGTGTGGCCTGAAGCAAGTCACTTAACCTCTCTGAGATTTGGCTTCCTCATCCTCACCATAGCCTCACCATACTGCTGCTCCAGTAAGAGTAAAAGAAGAATTATAGGCAATACCACCTGGCACAGGGCTTGGCACAAAATATGTTCTTAATGGCTTTTTCTTTCTTTTCTTCCAGAGAAGAGAAGGCAAATTAGCACCTGATACTTTAATGATGTTTTACAGGAGCCTTCACATTATCTTATTTGTCACAACAAGCAGTCTTTATTCTCGTTTTGCAGAAGGGCCTTGAAGCCCGGAGAAATTAGGATACTAGCCCATGGTGTCCTAGCAGCACTGAGACTGAAACCCAGAACTTTCTTCCTCTTTTTTCCCTCCTACAAGCACAGAGCTTAACTTTTAAGACATTAAAAAAAAATCTGTCCCAGCTCAGGGCACTGAACATTGGAAGCCAGGCTGACCGGCCACACGTGGCCTTGGGGCAGGTCCACTGCTTCTTTTCTGCTCAGCTAGGAAGCACACCAAACAAGGATGAGTCCAGGGTTCCCTTTGCGACATTACTGCCTCCTTTGCTGAGTTGCGATGAGGGGCAGCAGAGGCTGGGTGAAGGCCAAGGCGAGGACCTGGAGCACCTGCGCAGGTGGGGAGGTCTGCAGACACCGGTGGGACCCCTTCTCGCTGCCCTGGAACAAGCTCCAGCGTCTGTGTGCCAAGAGATGTCTGCAAGCTCCAATAAATACCGTCCCACTCAACACAATGCAAGGTTGCAATCTTGTGTTGCAAGGCTGCCCACCAGGCTCCCCACACTGGGGCCCCCTCTGATCCTCTAACAAGATGAGCAATTTCAGGGCTCTCTGGCTCAAATCAGAACCGCCTGCCCCTCCTC